TCTGGTTACAAGGTGAGCTCGTAGACCATTACGCCATTGGGACCCGATCCAAGTATGTTTACAGCTTCTTCTTTTTCTTCCTTTACGTTCACAGTGGAACATAGAGCTTCAAGCTAGAGGCTTTACCAGTTTTACTACTGGTTTAGCGAGGCAAAGGAGTGTGCCGGCCGGGGGTCGAAACCCGGACCACGTGAGGCGTGGTCGGCGAGCACTCTACCACTGTGCCACTGACACTTAACAGTCTCTGTGATACAGTATTTATCATTTACTGGATGTACGCCGAAAAATATTATTTGTTAATATTCATCTTATCTACAATGGTTTTGTGCGTCATCGCTTCAGCGGTAGAATACCTGCTAGCTACATCTTACGTGATCTGAGGTTCGATCCTCAGCTAACGCACTCCTTAACTTCATCTAATTAGAAGCTAGCCCGATAAAGATGGAAAGTTGGGCTCTGGACCGGCAACCTCACCCAGTAAGGAAAACACTACTGCTCTTGGGATTTCAACGCTGAAGCTTGAAGCTCTCTATATTCCACCCAGAAAGCAAAGGAATAAAATAATAATGGAATAGTTGTGTTAGAGTCAAAGCAGTCATGAAAGTATCCGTCCAGTCTTCTTATTATTTCTAAAGATTTCTCCATTAAACAGATAGTGGAGAAGTTGACAAACTCTTTGAAGTTTAATAAGGGTGTGCTAACACCTGTTACTCTTCCAAACATTCTAAGTAAATACTCAATAGACAGATACTACACTGATATATTCGAAAAAATTTACAGACAAGGCAACAATTTCCATATCAGATATTCTTCAGACTGCATATAGTAGATATAGAATAACTGGTCAGCTGATTAATTTCTTTCCCAACTTCAAATGAACTTAGAGAAGACGAAGGTGATGAGGATACCTAACCAGCATCAACAGCAACAACAACAAAAATCTCCGATTACTATCAACGGTCAAAATCTGAAGGAAGTCACTACTTTCACTTATATAGGCACCATCATTTCAACTAAAGATGGCACGGATTGAGATGCCAAAATCAGCTACAATCGGGAAGGTAAGACAGACCTTCAGTGTTCTGAAATCAGTTTGGAAACCTACTGCACTAAGCATTAGAAATAACGATAAGGATTTTCAGTGTCAATGTCCAATCAGTCTGTACTTCCAGATGGTTCAGAGACTTTCTGGAGGTAGAGAAAAAAGCATTTCCAGCAGCCTGTTGCAGAATTTCATCAAAAACAGCTGTCTTCGCTGCATACTCAAGATCATATGCCTCGCGAGAAAGGATTAACAACAACAACAAAAATTCTGGAAACAAACCAACAAAGAACCTATTATTATTATTTATTATTTATTCCTTCACGTTCCCAGTAGAACATAGGGCTCCAAGCTAGAGGCTTGAAGTTTCTGTAGCAGTGGTGATTATTTTTACAGGATGGGGTTGCTAGCCAGCCTCATGCCCGACCTTTCCTCTTCACCAGCTTTATTTGTGGCTTAGTGAGGTAAAGGAGTGCGTCTGTGGCCGGGGATCGAACCCCGGACCAAATGCATGGTCGGCGAGGGTCTTAACCGATATGCCTATTTCTCAATATATATTCCAAAGTAAATGGAGATGCATTGGACACACACTGATGAGACAATTGAGTGATATCGCGTGGAAATCAATGAGGACGTGTTTCCAAGGGTGACGCGAAGATCGTGTGACGAGGAGGTAATCATGAAGCCAGCTATAGAGGACTAAAGAGAAGGGGATGAAATCGAAATGTGGTTTTTAGGCCCTATGTTACATTCAGAACCCAAGGGAATAACAGTGATATAATAATTACACATATAAACAACTGTACACATTAAACCATGAACACCGGTTATTTGTTGTGTAGGGTGATAAAATACCATACAACATTAAAAGTACATCTATCACGAAAAAAAAATAATGCAGGTGAATAACGTAACAAAATAATCGAAATGTAGTTAATGGGAAAGACTGAAATGCAAAATCATGTTGCTAAACTCACGATCTCCCATAGATGCTAAACGTGCTCTATCTTTTGGTCCAGCCAAACGATAACCACGCTGACAGATACAAGCATGTCCAGCTCCTGGATCACAAGAATGTTCACAGGCATAACGTTGACGACAGATTCGTGTACCAAGAATATGACGTGTATCAACCACATCTGTGTTCAATTCACAGGAAAAAGAAACCATATTTTGGAAAGTGTAATGTGTGAAGAAAGTGAGAAATAATTTGCATTGAACGTAGAGACAAAATATATATCCAGTTTTAATGGTTCCGACTGTACTACTATGTAAATAATTTCGCAGTGGATTTCAAAGAACACAGAGTCATTCTAGTAAGCTAAGAGTTTCTATTATATTGGTTTATACTGAATGAGATGTTAGACAACAACTATCCCCTGAAATTCATCAAAACACTAATCAAGTGTCAAACAAAGGGCTCCACGAATCTAAACACCTTCCAAAAAAGAGGATATGCATATATCTTTACTGTTCGAAGGGGGTCACCGAATTTTGATCACTAAACAGAAACTCAGAGAAGCAATCAACAGAACCTATTTTCGTAGAGAAGACGGAATTTATGGTGTCTTGTACACCAATAACAGCATTCCAACGATAGTGTCACATTCCAGATTTTTACCGATTTACATGTATGTGCAGTTACACGTACATAGGGAAAACACTACGATCTCTGCAGATCACGACTTCAGAACGCATCCTTAAGTGACTGCAAAAACAAATAAAGTTATCTGGTTCAATCAATCCCAGAAATAGATATTCAACGTTATCCATTGCAAAGCACATGATGAAGCTGGTCTCACAAGTACATTTAGATCGGCCGTACCATGCGCCTACTTGGAAAGAAACATGCTCGTGAACACTATCCAGCCTGGCTAGTAAAAAGAGAACGAAAACGTGTATGTAGTTCAACGACAGAACACCTGATCAATTCAGGACATTCAGCACCATTCGAAGAATCCTTCAAAATAATATACAAGATTCGATCAAACCTATCGAATGGAGCTAAATTAAGACATCTGGACATAGTCGGGGCACTAGCCATTCAAAAGCTCAAACCCACGCTGTGTATCCAAAGGAAATACGTCCAACCCTTATCCCTGCCATGACCATCATTCTCATTTTCTTCCTTATCCAAATTTCCTGTTCATTCATGATATTTTTAAGTTTTTCTTAATCACTATTTACACTATCATATTTTTATATCCGAACTTCCTGTCTATTTTGTCATTTTATTATTTCTACATATTTAATCCCTAACTGCATAAACAATTATTCGTCACATTAGTTATGATCCCACTAGACCGGAAATTATTCTGGAACTTTCCCACCCATTTATTATAAATACACGAATGTACAGCCTAGTTAATGACTTCGTCAAAAATTATATATATATATATATATAAAGTGGGTTTAAGTCGTTTGTCTAAATCCATCAAAACCTTTGCCACAAAAAGGCTTAAATCTGTTTTATACAATCAAAGATTGTTTTTAATTACTCTGAATCTGCCTTGGTCACCCAAATTTACATCCAAAGTTCATTTTACTAAATAATATTTTGGTCTCTCCTCTTTTTTTACCTCATTTTCCCACCTCTTATCTGTGATCGTGACCCCTAAACAACTTGATATGTATATTGCTCTGCTGCCTTCTGAATTAATTTGTCTGATATTTCAAAGCCTCTACTACTACCGTATGATGACTGAGAAGTATATTATATGAGTCAAATCAGTAGATCGGGGTCAACTAGATTATTGGAATACAAAACTTTAGCTAGACCTAGAATAATTGACCCTGTTAAGCTAAATAGTCTATAAAAAAGCTCAGTCACTGCACTGTATTCACTTGCATTTATTCACAAAGTAGGGGGGGAAGGGGGAAGTATTAAAAAGTATAGTTAGGTGGAGAGAGAAGCTAATCACTGAATGGTTACAGGATTTCATCATGAGCTGAAGTCAGTTAGAGAACCATTGAAAAACCAGCACGGAGTACTGGACGGTTGCTTCGTCCGTGTATTTGACTCTTCGGCAGTACGTACCCATCAACGGCGTTCAAACCCAGGACCTTTCAGTTACAATGCGTGCTCGTATACCACTAGGTCACTGGAACCCGATTCCATCTGTTCTTACACCCGACGTGCTTTACCCCAATGGTCACAACTTCTTATCAGAACCCAGATAAATGCCTACCTGAATAGGGCCAGTCGCTAGTGAGCATCGGACTGATAGGACGAAACAGCTCTCCAGTACTCCTAGGTTTGTTGATGGTTCTTTAACCGGTATCAGCCCATTATGAAATTCTGTAAGCAATCAAACCAACACTTGAATATTAATCGTTAAATCTTTGTTCATCGATTCAACACAGCACACGTAATTGATGTTTGAAGCACACTCATCGAATATAGATGTTTGTGATCAGAATGGCCAAAATGCGTTGCACAAATAGGCTACATGTTCTAGATAGATTACGTACCCTTACTTTTTTTGTTGTTAAAATTCAGAAGGGTCTGTTTCACACCTCATGTCTATCCCTGAGGTTAGTTCATCAGCAGAGAATATGGAATGAATCAGCTGTTTATAACAAAGCTACGCTTTTGCTGACATGAAGGGCAACTCAGACCAACAACTGAATTACAGTTGACACGATTCCTACCGCAGAGGAGGTTACATGGTAAGTGATAAGTTGGAAAGACGGCGGAAAGGGGGAGAGAGGAAGCTGTCAAGCTATCAATTATCTGTACCTAATCAAAAACCAATACAAAATTAAAACAAATTCAGCATTTAAGAAGCTTAACTTACCATAAATATGAATTGAATTTCGTTTGATCGGTTCAGCTATTCGAACTTCAGTACCACTGGTTTGATTTAACCATAGTTGTATAGTTTGAGGTGTTAAATTCGGCGATTTTTTATCTTTGTTTAAACTAGAAGACTCATCATGATTCATTTCACCTGCAGGTATCATTTTTTTCGGTAACCAAATTGTTACACGTACAAATGGAGATGTTGAGATAGAAGATCCGAAAGCCTTTGGATTTGTTGTTGGTGGTGGTGCTGCTGTATTCTTTGTAGTCGCTTTAGATTCTTTATTCAATGTCGACGGGTTTAAAGATGCAGATTTTTGATAGATGTTAGCTTTAATCACATTCCATTTGATAATTTTTTCAGAATAATCATTTGATGAAGAAATTTTGTATTGCCTGCTCCGATCCGCTGACTCTTCACTATTTGGATTTCCTATTACAATAACTATCATGAACATTAAGGCAATGATAGTAAGAGTTGTAAAGCGTAGACTGAAATTATAAAACCAAAAAAAAATAATACGGACATGTAAGTAAGCGAATCATATTCATCAATCGATAAAATATGACATTTTTCATTTATTGATTATTTTATATTTTATTCCTTTACGTTTCAAGTGGAATATATAGGGCTTCAAATTTTGAACGTTAAAGGTTCAGTAACAGTGGTGTTAAGTTTTTACTGCGTGAGGTTGCTATGGACGTCTTCCAAAAGAATGGATATCCACGGAATTTCATCAAAAGACATATACCCCCAAGCCAACCTATCAAATCAAAGACCCCCAAGGAAAGCACAAAGAAAATCGCCCTACTATATATAAAGGACATCTCAGAAATCACTACAAGACTCTTCAAACTTTCAGGAATTGATGTCGCATACAAACTAACAAAATCACTTCATTCAGTTCTATGTCAACCAAAAGACGCAGCAGCGAAAGAAGATAAAATCAACATCGTCTAGAAAAAAATTGTAACAACTGCGAAAAACACTACATTGGTCAAATTGGACGTCCTCTTCGTCTTCGTATCCACGATCATAAGCTAGCCGTCAAAAGACATGACATCCACTCCCTCATATCACTACATACAGACAACCACGGATATCAATTAGACTGGGACAACCAAAGTACTCGAGTAAAGCTTTTCGATTAATACTTAGTAATTAGAATAAAACAGATTAATAGACTCATAGTATTCATTACGCATCGAATAACCACACTACCACCCTAATTTCACTCTTCTTCCTAGCAGTGTACATCACAAAAGTCACACAAGACTGAATATTAGAACTATGCTGCTTAGATAATGAACGTAATCTCCCTCTGAATACTACAAATATAAGACTTGTGTAAATCACTGGTAATTCTGCTTTGCCCTTCCAAATTATTCTGCATCACAATCTATCCACCGATTGCCAAAATCAAAAAAATAGTAATAGTTTAACCTCAGAACCCAAGAGTATTTGGCAACGGCATTATTATTTATTGACAGCCCTGTATACAGGTATAGGCGAGATATTTTTTTTCCTTCACGTTCTCCAGTGGAACATAGGGCTTCAAGCTAGTGGCTTGAAGTTTCACTAGCAGTGTTTATTTTGCAGGATGGGGTTGCTAGCCTCATGCCCAACATTTCCTCTTCACCAGCATTATTTCTGGCTTAGTGAGGTAAAGGAGTGCGTCTGTGGCCGGGGATCGAACCCTGGACCATATAGGCGAGATATGTCGATCATATATTGAAATCACAATTTGCACATATCTTCCGTATTGAGCTTCTCTGTCTTCCTTTCATGTTTTCTACTTTTTATTTCTCAAGAATCGTTCAAATCTTCTCTTCGTTATTAAATCCATCTCTCTGCTATTCGATATTCTCACAGAAGATATACAATATTTTTTTCTGTATATACATATATACTACTTATAAATCTTGTCAGTAGTGTGTCTTAGTTCCAATGGACGTTAGGCTGATGTTATTACAGTTTTGCATGAACAGGCTAATTTAATCATTGTAGTAAGCTAAGGTGATAACGTATGTATGAAATTACTGTCCTCCAAGATTACGATTATTATTATTATTATTTGATGAAGCCTCAGGATAATAAACGCAATACGACAGAATTTGTGGCTAAATTAAAGTTGAGCTTACACAAACTCATAGACGTAGACACACACACACACACACACGCATACACAGAGACAGTCATGCTAACAGCCTATGAAAAACGCATGGAAAGTAATGACAACAGAAATCAATAACTTGCCATTTGTTCGTAGAATAAATCAGGTCAGAAAAATATACAGAAGAGGATACTGTAGACAAAATTAATGAGGACTTGTACGTGTGTCTGTGAGAGAGAGAGAGCGTGCGTTTGTTTGCCTATGTGTGTTTATGCATACTTGTTATGCCCCTTAATGGATTATTATTATTATATAACGTGAACACACACCAGGGTAGAATTAATTCAGGTCATTTTTTGGAAAAATCTTCACTGCATAACAGCCAACATTATTAGTAACACTGTAAGGAATAGTAGTAGGAGTAGTAGGGCGAAGAAAAAGAAACACGATCAGGAATAGAGAGTTCATATCAGATTCAATCAGCTGGCTAATGTTGTTCTGATAAGACGCAGATAAACTGTGCATTAATCTAGCCAAAGAAATTTGACAAAGCTGAAGACCTTGAATGCCCATAAATGAACTGAAAGCCTGTCTGCTACACGGCCAGATGAAATTCCTGCGTGAATAAACACTGAAAATGGATCCAAACACCTTGATAGATATTATTATTGTCTCCTTTAATTCCTAGAGGAACATAGGGCTTCAGCCGTGCCTCTCCATTGCGTTCGGTTCTCTCCTACAGTCTTCACCTGGCTCCACGCCTGCCCACACGTTTTCATCTCCTCTTCACATCACCTCCTCCAAGTCACCCCACCTTCGCACTGACGACCAACTCGCCGCTTCCCTTTCGGGTTCCACTCGAGCAATGGCTTGTCTAGTGATGTCACTTGATGGTTTCCTCAGAGTATGCCCAGCCAATCCATCTCCATTTCTTCCTGCCTATTTGTTTCACAATCGGTTCCTGCTGTGTTGGTTCGCTCATTGCCAGAGATCTATGTTGCTGATCTTTTCTGACCGGCCATCTGATCTTGAGTATTGAGCGAAGACAACTGTTGATGAAGGTCTGTAGTTTGTTTGAGATGCTCTTTATGACGCGCAGTGCAAGTCTCTGATCCGTATAGTGAGTAGCACTGACTTCACATTTCAGTTGAAAATCCGGAACTTGTTTTTGATGCTGAGTGCTTTTGATCTCCACACAGACTTGAGAGTAGTGAAGGCTTGTCTTGCTTTTCCGATTCTCGCTTTGATATCCTCGTCAGTTCCGTCCAGCTGTAGTTGAAACGATGCTTCTCAGGTAGGTAGGTAAAAGAGGTTGTTTCTTTCAGGTTCCTTCCATTAATGCTGATCGTTGTCCTTGATAGATAACCTCACACTAATATTACTGAAAGTTTGGAAGGAAGGGAAGGTCACTCGTCAAATCATCAAAGAAGGGCATTGTACATCTTTGTGGAAAAAACTGCCGCGAAATCGTGCTGTTGTTTGTTCACTCCAAGTAAAACACTATTATGTCAAGTCATCCTGGAGAGAGACTAAAGGATGCACCGGATGCAGAACTCCATCCAGAATAAGCTGCATTCAGGGAAAGCAAGTCATGTGCGAAACAAATTGCAACTTTACAGGTCGTCATCGAATAGAGAACAGAATGTGGCAGGGAAATATCTACCTCAACCTAATCACCTTTGAAAAAAGGCTTTAACAGCGCTGACCGCAAAGCTATTTGGAAACTACTTCAGCGGTACAGAGTGTCCTAAACTGTTATCAATCTTAATGAACAGCTATATAATGATGCCATATGTCAGATAATTCACAAAGGAAAATTCAGTGAAATCTTTGAAGTGGAGACAGAATGGAGTAAGACAAGGCTGCCTACTATCACCGATGATATTTCTAAATTATAGTGGAATGGATCATGCAATAGACTATGAATGGGGATGGAGAACTAACAGAAAGACTCTAGAAGACTTGTACTTCGCCGACTATTTATGTCTAATGTCACACAAACTCGACGATCTACAGGTGAAAACCAACAGGTTCTTAGAAGAGACAAGCAGTGAAGGCAGGTCTTCAAGTGAACACAAAGAAAACAGAGGTGATGAAGATACCAGACTACTAACAACAAAAAACACCAATCACTATCAACAGAAGAAATTTCAAAGAGGTCAGCCCATTCACTTTTCTAGGTACCAGGATTTCAGCTACACGCGGAGGCACTAATGCCAAATCGAGCCAAGATCGGAAAGGTAAGGCAAGCGTTGGTCACTCTGAAGTCAATGTGGAAATCTTCCGCACTCAGCAAAAGCAACAAGATTGGGATTTTCAACACCAATATCAAGTCAGTTGTTCTATATGATTCAGAGATTTGGCGTCACGAAAAGCATTTCCAACAGTCTGCTGCAGACTTTTACCAATAGCTGCCCTCACCATATTCTGAAGGTTAGATGGCTGGTCAGAAGGGATTAGCAACAAGGAACTCTGGGAACGAACCAATCAGTAAATATTCCGGAGAAAATGGAGGTGAATTGGTCAGATGCTGAGGAGACATCGTGCGCCAGGCCGTTGCTCACGTGGAACTCGAATAGGAAACGATGAGTTTAGCTTGGATTGAAAGCCATATAGGGGCGTCGTGTGAGCTGGAGAGATGAGAGCCTATGGGAAGTCGTGGAGCCGGCTAAAGAGGAGGAGTTCAAAAAACAAGGTGAAATGGAGATGTGCTGTTTTCCGCTCGGAAGCCTAGAGAATAATAACATAATAGTGGGGAATTTTGTGCTTGATTAGTAAGACAAACACTTCGATGACGAATCCCCGGTTTAATAGCCGCAACGTATTCTTCATTTATATACATTATTCAGTAACATAGAACTAACTACACTAAAGTGACTAATTAGCCTTTTTAACAAAACATTCTGCATGGTAAATTAGATTTTCCTTTTCAATCAGTTATTCATTTACTTACTGTTTATTGACTTTTGGACCAGTTCTATCAGCACTTTTCAAAGCAGAACGTGGATTACTCGATGAATTCGATGAATTCGCTGGTAGAGTTAAAGATGATCCAGGTGGTAAAGATTCAAGATCTAATTTTGCTGAAGATGATGCTGAAGGTAAACGTTCAAGTGTAGCTGAATGTACTTTATCATAAGACTTATGCGTATCCATAAAATCATTATGCAGATCGTGTAATGTCTGTGATATATCTGTAATTAAATCCATTTGATGATTTGATTTATTTGACATAAATGAATTTGACTCATTTTCTCCAGTCTATTATGACAAGAAAAACATCAGATGAATAAATTTCAGTTAGCATAAATAATTTTTAGTCAATTTCAAAAAAAAACCAAACTGCTACATGTCTTAATTTCATTATCAATAATTTTTGTTTCATTCCTTCACGTTCCCAGTGGAACATAGAGCTTCAAGCTAAAGGCTTGAAGTTTCTGTACAGTTTTTTTTACAATGGACTTGCTAGCCTCATGCCCAGCCTTTCCTCTTTACCAGTCTTACTACTGGATTAGCGAGGTAGAAAAGTGCGTCCGTGGCTGGGGACCGAACCCCGGAACATGTGCATGGTCGGCTAGCGTCCCAACCGCTGTGCCACAGACGCACACATTATCAATAATAAATATAAAGATTTCATCTTTGGTGATAGATGGCACTTATTTTATTTATTTTCATTGAAATACAAACTTGGGCACCAAGAGATGTGCAAAACGAAGTCTTACAGTTTCTGAAAGGGCTGGGGTACTACGAAGACTCCCGGACCAGAGAAGCTGGTTATCTAAAGGGGCCAGCCGTCCACCCCATTCCCACACCTTTGATTTAGAGTCCGTTTCATAGAGGCATGGAGCAGCCTCAGGGGCTACATTTCAATGATAGATGATGATCAAAGCAGGTTCATACGCTAATCGGTCCTTTCGGATTCTGAAGACTAATAAATACCGTCATTTTGGTTTTAGCTCCCCCTCTAAGTACACCTGGATGTCCACCAATTCGGTTTTGTAAGTGCCAGATGTTTGGATTCGCTTTTTCACTTTTGTGCGGAACACTTTCACCGTATGAAGACAGTGAACAGGACTTACCAAATGAGAGCAGTTTGAGACGGAGACCGAAGTCCACCTACGCTTAGCCGCTGTGGGTCATTTGTAGGCTCCAAAAGTGGCAACTACCAGTCATCATATGGAATATAATGTCACATTGAATGAATAAATCATCTGTTCACCATTAGTAGGAACTCATGTATCTACTAAATTCATACTGAATCATGTTTGCAAGAGTGTATTAGAATGAAGGTTAACGATAAAACTGGCAATGTTTTGTTAAATTTCATCCTGAAACTTTTAAATTGAATATAATTGTATATTTGCAGAAGCACTTACTAGAAACTCTTACTAATTATTTGACACATGCAATCGTGAAAATGTATTCACTAGGTATTCTGTCTTGTGATTACTTTTGACGATTTAATTCACTAGGTGATAAGTCATGTACTTTGCCCTCTGAGACTATAAAGTTCAGCATCCATTCTTTATGGCAAGATTACAACAAAAATACGAATTAACTTTGGCGATTTGATCTGACCAAGATGGTGGCCATTAGTATTGTGGTGAGAGCTGGCTGCTAGCCAAAGTTGGTAGACAGTAATTGACGTCAATGTTTATGTCCCCAATATTGGTGGTGAGAAAATGAGAACAAAGGCTTTGTGTAGGCGGACACAGTTAGCATATGGATGATCTGACACAGCCACAAAGAGATGCAAGGTTAACTTTCTGTGAGAGACAACCAATCAGAAGACTGCATTTTCTACTAACAATAATCTACAATAATGTACAATAAAATCTATAAATATGTGTTGATTTTCCTTAATAAACGATCTGTTGCCTGGCCCTTGTCTTCTGTTGTTACAGTATTAGTATTCTAGAAAATAAAATTCACAATCTAACTCGAAAGATAATATAATTTTAGTCCTTTGCATTCCAAATGGAATATATGGCTTCAAGCTTGAGTGTTGAAGTAGTGTCAGTGGCAGTGGTGTTTGTTTTTACGAGGTGAGGCTGCGAGTCTCTTTACTGGGCTAACTTATTGGCTAGTCAAGGCTAAGGAGTAAGTGGATCAAGGAGCGAACCTTGAACCACCTGGGAGGTTGGCTAGTATTCTACCGCGGCCGAACGGTAACAAACCTCTCAAAATTAAACGCTACATGAACCAACAATTCACTGACATCAGTGAAAGAAATCATTCCAGTTGAATAGTTTTCATATAAACCTCGGTATTGAATTGTACCACTGTAGATTAACTGTAGATCAACACACCGAATCAATCTTCAGTCTAGTGCGAATACTATGAACACTACTCACCCCTAATATTAACTAATTATAGTCAGCTTTTTAGACAATTTAAATATTCTCAAGATGCATCATAAACATAAACTAGTTCATAATAAAATTCAGATGTATTGCTTACAGCTTCTAAGTTTGCCTCTTCACTTTCGATACCATTTTCATTGTTATTATTCTCATTATTTATATTTGTTGGTGTTGTTGATGTTTGAAGTTGTTTACGTGATAGACTGACACTTCGTTTTGGTGGATTAGGACAAGTCTAAAGTTTGAGGGGGAAAAAAGTTGAAAGAAATTATGCCAACCAATAAGTCTCCACTCTTTAATATTATGGTAAATGAAAAAAGACAGTATACGAGATTTTTTTTAAATGCACCTGAGTTGTTATATGTGTAAAACTTGGGCACTGTGGTAGTAAGTAATTCCATATTAGTTTGTTTATTAGGTATATCACACAGTGAAACAGTATTATTTACTGGATGACGTTTCGAACAAAATTTATTGTTCATAATCATATCAATTGTGATCGCACGACTTTGACACTTGAGTTTTGTAGTTTTCTTTGTTTAAATGACAGAGCACAAAAATTAAGTAGTACCAAAGAAAATCTAAAATAGGAACTAACACACATAAAAGAAGCCTTAAAACTTAATAATTACCCGGATAAATTAGTCAGGAAATATGTAAAGAAAAGTAAAAATAAAATAAATAATGATAGTAGCGATAGTGATAATAACAATAATAATGATAATGATAATAGTGATAATAATAATATTAATGACGACACCAACAATAAAGAATCTAAATCATCAGTAGTAATTCCATACAAGGAAGGAACCTCGGAAGCCTTACGCAGAATTCTTAACAAGGCAGGAGTAAAAACGGCATTCAAACCCACAAACTTAATTAGAAACAAGCTTTGTCGGTTAAAGGATCCTGTAGAGCCTTTAAAACAAAACAATTTAGTTTATCTAATACCCTGCAATGATTGTCAGGTCAAATACATAGGTCAAACTAGTAGAACAGGGGCAGTCAAACTAGCTGAACATAAAAACTTAGCAAAATCTAGATTGGTTGACCCGAATAAGATAAGAAATCTAGAGAATAGTTCAGCTATAGCACTACATGCAGTCACACACAACCATACAATAGGATGGATGGGATAGGATGACAGTTTTAAAATCTAATGTCACAGGGTATAGGGAGAGATTGATAACAGAAGCTTTGTTTATCGAATCAACTACAAATACATGTAATAGGAATGATTCATCACCTGTCCCCGATATTTGGAAAATTCTACTACCCATACGACAAATAGGAGAGAACAAAGAAAACTATAAAACTCAAGTGTCAAAGTCGTGTGATCACAATTGATATGATTATGAACAATAAATTTTGTTCGAAACGTCATCCAGTAAATAATACTGTTTCACTGTGTGATATACCTAATAAACAAACTAATATGGAAGCACCTGAGTTGTGTTTACCTGGCATATCACCTTTGAGTCGCAGTCGTATATATAGAGGGACCTCATTTTAGAAGACACAGAATAATTCCTTTCCACTCCCTTGGTCATGTACTTAGTGGTGAACTTTTCAGCGTACTTTTCAGTTCAACTACTCCTTGTGTGGAGCCAGTTATCCTAGCCATTGCATACTAGGGACTTAATTTTCCATGCTTGGATACACCCACCAATGTGACGAAAAAAGGTGTAGTTGAAACTATCAACAGTTCCATATTAGATCCCCCCCGTCCAAACAGGCTACAAAGTCACCTGTTGAAGAGTCTTTCTCTATCATCTATCAGGTATCGAATAAATTACGAAAGGCCTCTACATTTCGAACACTCTAAACAGCAGAGGCCAATGTAATTTGCTGAAATCCACCAGAGCTCCATGTGCAAAAGAAACAAGTCCAGCCAGTCACTGTTGCCACCATGACCTGCTGTGGAACTTCTATCGCTTCCCTTAATTTATCTGATATCCACCTTAGTGTTATACTGAGGCGTATTATCACCAACAGATGTTTTTCAACCATAATCTATTGACTCAATGTCATTTAAAACACTAATAATTCTTAATAACAATAATTCTTTTATTATTATAGTCATATGAAGGTAGAACCTGATGAAGAGCAGGTTTCGGAGAAGAATATTCTGTGTTAATTAATTAGTCTTCGAAGTATAAACAATTATAAAATTGGTAATAATAATGATTCTAGCCAGTGACTTGCCACAGGAGAGTTTCCTGGAGTTCTAGTGAAAAGTCATGACCAGTGAGGTCCATCCAGTCAAGTGTGAGGATGGATTTCCCACAGATGACATTGGATAGTGATCGCGCTAAATCACGAATTGGTAGAAGTTAGAATTCATGGACAGGCCACTGAATTGGGTCCCAATGGCTGAAAGGTATACAAGCTTGCTTTGTAACCAGAAGGCCCTGGGTTCGAAGCCCAGTGGGTGTGTACTGCTCATGATTCCCAAAAACTAGGATGAAACAGCTGTCCAGTACTCCCTGTTGGCTTTCAATGGTTCTCTAACTGATAGCAATCCGTGGTCAAACTCGTATAAATAATAATTGTATTAATAATAGGGCAAAAAGTTAAGGCAAGTAAAAACACTATTGTGATAACGACACTGAAAAAAGATTGTTATAAAAAAAAGTTAAATAAAATAGCATAAACACCTAAAACTATATACTACTGCTT